TATAACAACCCGCAGGTGCGAACTCTCAAAATTGCTCGTAACAATTTCTACATTTCTGGCAGGTGAGGAGCATTTCGTAATCGGGAACTTGCTGTGATCAATCTCAAATAATCAGCCATTATGGACTATCTTCAATGGGCAATGCAATTATCAGAGTAGTTGTCCCCATAATCTACAGATGTTCTAGCAACCTTTTCTAGAGGTAACTGAAATGAGTCCTTCAAAATTCGTGATGTGGCATCACAAAGCTCGCTCTCCTCTAGAAAGGCGTCGTCATTTACTGCTGGATGTGCGCTGAATACAGTGAGGTTCAGAGGGCAATGCACAAACAACTTCTGGGTCAGGATGGGTTTTCCGCCCTTAAGAAGCTGCAGAGGACCATCAGGAGGGTATCTATAGTGCCGAGGATGTATGTTGAGTAGAATCCAATAATTGGAAACTTCTTTCTATGCATAAGTGAATTTTCAAATTGAGAGCAATGTAGAAGTTTCCATGAATATGATGCGCTTTGAGTCATGAGGATCATTCAGATGAGTCATGGGTGAATTGCGATGGATCCTGTGCACCACGGTCAATCCAACATAACAGACCATTGGGAACATCAAACACACACACAACGTAATATCTATATATTGGAGGAAAACTTCAATCATGCAACCACTTTATGTTTTTAATTGCAGTACACGATGTAGTCCACATTGCAAAGAACAATGTCACGTCCTGCTGATGCTTCATCATCATTCAGTTTATATGCAGCTTGATACAGTAATTTTGTGCTATACTTGCACGAGTTAGATCGACCTAATTTTCAAATTCTGAAATTTGCGCATGTACATGGAACCCAGCCATGGACTTCATAAACAATTTTTAGACATAACATTAGTTATTGTTCCATCTGTGCATCAAAATCCCAACGCACATCATCCAAAAATCAACGTTTGGTTTTGCCGGCTATTGCACACTCAAGCTGAAAAACCTTAAAATTCGCCTTTGGACGCCATGACACAGGAGCGTCGCCACAGGCAGATTGCCATGTGGGATGACAAGCTACAACCAATGCCCACCGCTGCTTGCGGATCACCACCCCCTTTGACAAGGGGACCAAGGGTGATTGGAGGCGACGGCATCAGCACCAAGAGAGTAGACAATTCGACCAACATGGATTTTGAGGTTGTTTCAAGGGTCGACAAGACACTTAGGAACGTGCAAGAGTACCGCAACCAACTCGCCAAAAGAGAGACGAAAGCAGCAAACCAGCAGGTGAACAACACAACATGAGTATGTTTGATTTGACAATTGCCTAGCTGCACAACATACATATTGATTGATATATTGGGACAGAGAGGGATGGCTTCTGAGTGTTCATGTAGAATCGTGGTAATAAATTCTTTAATAGTATTTGCTGGAAAAACCATTGTGAACAATTCCTTTGCAGCTTGCAGACGATGATGGGCACAGCAGCGTTCAAATAATGTTTGTTTGAAGTTTTGTTTGGAAAATCTTTCACTTCCTGAATATGGAATCTGAAGTGGGGGAACCCATATCCTGGATACTGAACATGATATGAGCGCCATATCTGGGATATGGCGAGGATATTGGTAAAGATATGGCCATATTGCATGATATTGACGGCCATATCCAAGGCTAGGATATACACGCTCCAAGTACAGGACATGAACGCCCATATCCTGTTATATAGTGAGGATACGTGCGCTTGGACGGATTCATCTCCTTGATATGTACATCAGGAAATGCAACTTTTTCTTTTTGAAAATTTTCTGATGTCCAAGTATTCGTCCCTTGTAATTGTCATGCTGCAACAAGACAAAGGTTACGTGGGGATGTAGAGCAAATGTCCAATTCCCTGTTGCCATCAGGCACGAAATATACATGCACAGTACCCGTTGCTCCATTCCCATCTCTCCAATTAATGGAAAAGAGGTGCACACGCGCATCATGCAACCCCAAAATTTTTACCCGAAGAAATAATCAGCTGAATGCTTGGTATTCATGTTTGAGTCTTCAATTTTTGGGGTTTACGTTGTCAAGCCTCAAAAACGTAAACTTGCAAATGGGATTATCTTTATGGCTATAAATACTTCCTCCATCCCCCATATTAAATGTCCTCTATGATTTTGACGCACCACCTTCCCATCATAAATTATTTCTTTTTCAATGGAATTTTGTCCAAAGTTGTGTCTACATTTTGGGAGCATACGGTCAAAATTTCAAGTCAATTCGCTAGGTATTGAGGATTTTGCAGTGCTTTGTACTAAGGGTCCTCCAGCCAGAACCCCACCCGTCTTTCAACGATTCTGCGAAAAGAACCGTTTGCGCTGTTTTGAGGAGCGCGCTTTCGCGGCGGCGAAACAGAGCCGCGCATGCAAAACTGTCCAGGCCATTCGGGTGTAAGATCGGCGTTGTGTTTGTGGGGAAGCACGGCTATAGGAAACGCGTTCCAAATGCCATAATCATGCAATTCGCCGTAGCTCATAGCTGAAATTCAGTGCCGGCTTGATGGACTGGAGCTGCCTCCCAGCCCCAAGTTTTGGGGCCAAGACTTTTCACCCTCTGTTGGTGCCGTCAAGGCAACAGAGGGTGACTCCAAATCCCCTTGACAAGGTGACAGAGAAGGTACAACTCAGCACCGCATTCAGTGGCAACCGATTGTGGAAATTGTTGTTGACACAAGATTAGCGAAAATGGCTTTTCTATGGAATTTCAGACGGCTAGATACAAAGAAAACGGTTAGGCGTCCAATACCTTGTCTCTTTCGCAAGGGCCGACGAGATATGTAGTGATGGATTGTGGACCGCACAGAAGATGTGGTTGCTAGTGGCAATTCATGGATTGTACCTTGCATGACACCAGGACCAACACCATGTCTGGGATCTGAGATCCCACAGAGCCAGTACACATGCTATGTCAGCCCTGTGTGTGTAAGTGCAGTTCAAGATCCCACCTTGAACGTAGCCTCACACATCACATGAAACCCCAACTTTCCATGTAGATTACTGGACTAGTTATTTGTCCTCATCAGTTCAGATAGCTCAGATGGTCTTTCTCAGACCAAGGAATAGTTGATCAAACTATCCCAATCTACTCATCCAACTTGTGCCCTTGAGGCCTAGGACCTCCCAGAATTGTTATTGAATCCAATCAGTTTGTGGTGCTGAATGGTGACATGAATCGGATGAGAACACAAGGTGGCATCTCACGTTTAGCCGTTGTCTCCTTAGCCTTACACCGCCCTCATTGTCACTCCTAAGTTTTGCCGTTGTCTGCTCATAACCCATTTTTGGAGTGTTTTCTCTTTATTTATATCGGCAATTGTGGCATACTTGGGCTATACCATGCAGCGTGCACAATGCATATGGTAGATACCCATTGTATGCTAATTACATAAGTGATCACCTAGTGAAACGGTGGTTATTATGTGGCGTCACGAACAGGACGTTTAATATGGGATGGAGGAAGTACGTGTTTTACAGCTCAGTGAGACACCAACATTACATGATGAAGTGTGAATGAATGTGCAACAATGTACATATACACCAACACAATTTATGCCATAAAGATCAAGCATGATCAGTTGAATAGTATAGCAACCTATCTGCTGTACAAGACAATACATAATTGTTTCACAAAACCAAAAATTGCAGTTTTCTCTTCAACGAATGTAATGCAGGGCGGGCGAGATCTGTTATTATTTTTTTTGTCATGCTACTGGAGGGAAATTCAAAGCATGAGAAGCCCGCCATGCATGTTAGGAAAAATCTTGAAATCTCTATTGGATGATTGCACAGGATTCTTCCTCCACCAATAGGGGCATGAAAGATGGGAGTTGCGAGGAACCTGGAGAGGCACGAGATAGCACACACAGATTTCGCCGGAAGTCTCTGGTTTCCTTTCAATTTAACAATGAGGACAAGGTGAGGGATTAAGTGCCCAGAAAGTAGAATCTGCGATTGTCACTGCCAATGCTTTGGACTCAAAACCCTTCCCATGAGCAACTATGAAGTGCTCAATTGTTCTATTTAACTTAAATGCCCTAAGATGCATGTGGCGTTTTGATTCACAGTTTGCAACTAGATTATTTCGTAGATAGTGCTAAAGAGGGAGTTTGGCATGCATGAATATATGATGATTTTTGCATATCCAGCGTAATTGATGGGTTGGCTTTTTAGTAACAGAACTAATGCACTACATATTTCTTTGTCGTGCTTAGAAGTGTAATTTGGTGGGAAAAACTTCCAATCCATTTAATCAGATTTTTGAACCAAAATAAGGTACGTACAGTGTCAACACATGTTCCATTGTTCCCAAACACAAATGAGACTCGGCTATTGAAGAATTCCCTAGTCGTTGCCATCTGGTTTGTAGTTCTCCTCTAAGGAATTCCAACGGAGCGCATTCAACACCAGAAATGATATTTCTGAGCACAAGCATAAGTTCTCAAGCTGAACCGAAGTGCCCAAGTGAGATGCCTTTAGACACACCGGAAGAATTGGGGTCCTTCAGATTGCTTGACAAACGCCCGGAAGAATGTCCAGTGGCCAGAGTATCAGCCATCCATCTTGGGGTTTGTTGCAAAGGATTTGCTTCATCATGCACTCATGCATCATGTACATGATGTCGCATGGTAGAAGAATCCAAGTCTTTAAAACAATGCCATTATGGCATTTGCAAACTATGATAGTTTGCACGCTTCTGGGAAACGCCCTCACGCATCGGTCCCTGTGAGGAAGGACGCTGCCAACGGGGAGGACAAGGAAAATGACGATGGAGCCATTTCGAGCGCATTTACAGAAGCAGCCAACGACTGGACGATAGCAGCGGCGATGTGGAGGCAGACGGCCTTCAAGGGACAAAAAAATTCCGTCATGGCATGCAACAGGGGGCAGTGCGTCAAGCTGAGCGCCACGTCGGAGGAATTGGCCGCGAGGTTCAGCATGGATGACCTAAACTTGGTCAGATACACGCAAGAGACGGAGAAGGAGACACTGAAAATCTCAGGCGCGGGTGAGCCCCTCCCAGCGTTCGGTGCAACAGCCAAGGCCAAGCTTTGAGCATACAAAACGGCGTGATAGATGCGCCACACGTTGCTTTGCATGGACAGAACAAATCTCACGATTAAATCCTAGAAATTTGGAGAATGAGCCTAATGAACGCATGGGAAGCGGCAGAGCTGTAAATCTAATAGCATTAACTTTTAGGCGAGTGCTAGTTACTTTGCATCCAATGCATCATTTCAATGGAGCTGCAAACACAATTCAATGGTCCGGACGCGCTTTAACCACATGAAAAAGTTGTGAGCTCACGTATTTGGTCATGGACGAGCACACGGAAATTGAAAAATTCGAGCATCTTTCTAGGATGAAGAATTGAGTTATGAACCGCTCCTAAACGTTGCGCGATGCAGGCGTCTACGAGTCCAAATGCTACAGTCTTGGAATCGTGCCGTCCACCCAAGTGCTGCGAAACCTGAAGAAGGAAAATGCGTACATGGATCATTGCAGATTTGGGCGGGAAGGCGCCGAGGCCTTCGGTTGTGTGATGGCTCTGAACAACGTCATCAAAAGGCTGTCATTGGTAGACTGCTCTCTGGACTCGAAGGTGGGTGAGCATTATGCGCGATTAATAAAGTATCGCCCTTGGTACTTGAGACAGCATGGACGACCATCAAGTGTGACTAGAAGCTTGACCAGCGCTGCTGCATAAAATAGACTGTTTGGAAGAAAGCTACTGTTTTTTCAGTCGTCCAATAATTAATTAGTAGGAAACATGCATCCCACGTCTATTCTTTGATGGCGCAGTTTGCGGTGGTCGAGGCTTGAAGTGTTTTCCCAGGCCACCCAAGATGCATAGCTTGCGAACCCATTGGCCACCAATAGACAGTGCGACAGATGATGCTGCTGAGCGTTCCGACATCGCTGGTAATCAGTGTTCCAGGCTATCTCTTTCATTGTGGAAGGGCTGCTTGCAAGAAAGGATACAGCGCCCAAAGCATCCCGTGCATCAGGTGGCGGCTTCACGCTCCTGAGATCAGGCTCCATCGTGCACGGGGTGGGGTCACAAAACCGATGGGAGAAGCTCAAAAACTTTCACAACCAGAGGAGGCGGCTGGGGAGCATCGTGGGGCAGCTATCCAACGAGCTGGAAAGGATGAGGACACCTGAGATGGGAATTTCGACTTCCAGTCTGTGCGAAATCGACCTATCTGAAAATCCCCTTGGAGTTGGGGGCGCCAATTCAATCGCCGACCTGCTTAATCCCCATATTGCTCCGTGAGTTTTGGCTTCTTGGGCTTAATTTCGCACCGCCATTCATTGCATTCGGATATCTTTCCACATCTAGATACCTCACAAACTACACAAACTGGCGTAAAATTCGTGATCATCATTGCACCCATATGCCTGGGTTTCGTTGTTTGCCGGCCGATTATGCATTGCAAGTTACGGCAGTGCATTCAAGCCTGCTGCATCATAACACAACAGGATTCCGCAGCGAAGGGCACATGCGTCCGGCGGATCATCTTCACACATCGTTTCCAGCTTCCGCCTGTCCCTTTCCACAGGAGCCAATTCCTAGTCAAGCTCATCTTGAATAAAACGGGGTTGACGGAGGACGGGGTGGTGGCAATTGTGTCGGCGCTGAAGAATGGCAATCTCAAGCTTGAAGTTCTTGGGCTCGCTCACGACTACGTTGGAAACAATTCGGCAGCCCTATTTGGAGAGCTGTTTGAGTTCAATCACAGCCTGAGGGAGCTGGACTTGTCATGGAATAGCATAAAAGTGCGCAAAGCCCTCAGTTGTAAGACGGAGCTTAGAAAAGCTCGCACGGGCAGAAAAAATAGGACCCCTTATTTTACTACTGTGAATGTCAGCCCATACCATCACATTATAAGTACGCCATTATGATCCGTGCTGCATAACTGTATGTAAAATTCGTGTGGCATACCACATACTCTTTGAGCGATAAGATTTCTTGTCGTTGTGTTCATTCGAAAGTAACGACGACACTATTTCATGTCTATCTTTGTTGTGCCTAATTCCAAAACTATCTGTCTGATCGTTAAAGTTGTGACACTTGATATTTGTGCAACGTGCAGCAATAGCCAGGGGATCTTGAACTCAGTGTTTAAGAATGTGCCGACTTCTGGGTGTTTGTTGTTCTCGTCACGAATTTAGCTAAACGAAACATGCATATCCGTTTTTCTATATGTTGCAGATGCAGAGCAATCCGACCCAGCCGCGATGAGTACATTAATTTGATTAGCAATGCAGACTTTAAAATACATTCAAGTTTCCAAGGTGCAAACAAGATGTGGCATTTAACGTAGGCTACCTCTCCATATCCCAACCAGAACAATCGCTTGTTGCGGCCACATCTGCTGCAGCCTTCCCCGCCTCGACTGCTCCTGGTCAAACTTTGCCTTTAAGGCAGTGGCAGGCGAATTCCCATTGTGAACGGTTCCGTGCAACCATCATCCAGTTCGGCGAGCTCTTCGATGCAACAACGCGCACATGTGTGCCACGCTACAAATCCAGTGGCGATTCCAGCCCCTGCCGAAAGGGCACGCGCGCCCACAATAAGGATGTGATACAGGGCAATATAAATTGGTATGTGATATACTCAACCATGCTCTATTTCTTGTCTGAAGCCTGATTCCGTCGGGGAACATTCAAATGCAGCAATTGTCTTGTCATTTGCGCCCAGGCGGAAGGAGTGAAAGGGCTTGCCAGGGGATTGATGAGCAATGCTACGCTTCGCATTCTTAACCTTTCCTGGAATGGGCTGGAGAACGATGGAGTAGTGCACATTGGAGAAATGCTCACAATGAACTTAGGGCTAAAGGAGCTTAATCTAATAAGCACAAGGGCAGGTGCAGAGGCATGCTTCATACTGGCAGAAGGCATAAAGGCAGGAAAAGAGTCACGCAGCAAATCCGTCATGAGAGCTCAATTCCGAAAAAAAAGCTCTTCAAAAGATGCAATTATATGATCATACAATTTCACCTTTCGAAAGTATTTGCCATTTGGTACTGAACGTCAAAAATTCAATGGACGTTGCGACATTTCCTAAATGCCGGGTTCCACATGTGGCCAATATTGATCATAAACTCTTTAATATTTCGTTTCAAGAATGTTCATTATTGAACTGAGATTCCAGCATCACAAAACAAAAAATTGGGGGTCGGCGCACTTGTAGGAGTCATTGAAGAACATCAAACATTTCAAATTTCGACTTCTTCATCCTAGGGAACACAATTTCCAATGTCTCCGATATTCGTCGGAAGAGCCTGAATGCAATCACATTTTTACAAGTATTCAGAATTATCAGAAGCACTTACTGGTAGGAAACGAGGGAAAGGGAAATTTTCGAAGAAGTGCTCAAGATCCCTTCAGATTCGCGTGCATCATGGATGTGTCAGTAACTCGTCCTCTTGTAGCAAGTTCACGATAAGAACAACTGATATAACAGGAAAACGAAAGTAAAAGTCACAATAGTAGAAATTTCATATTCTGCATTTATTGCATTTACATACTACTTACTGAGCATTGTTTTTTGCATTAATGCAATTAATAAACATTCATTAAGTTGTATACCCTTTACTACATTATCATACGAATATGACAGGAAGCAGTAATGCTGAACAATTTCCCATTATGAAGACAAGATTCTTTGAAAGTATTCATAAAATGTGCATCTCCGTGCACAGGCAAACGATGTCCTGGAGAAACTTTACTTGGATGGAAATCCTCTCGGAGATTCTGGGGCTCGCCACTTGATGCACGCGCTAAGGGAAAACAAGTCTGTCAAGTTCCTTGGGCTTCAGGTATGTTTGTAGAGTGAAACTAGAACAACTAATCCTTAGAACAGAACAGGGCAATCATATAGCATTTGAATGGCAACGTTTTACTCAATGGCTGCAGTGGAAAACACTTTTCAAATAATTGAATTCAAAATACGCGTCATTCTGAATTCTCAATTGGCCTCCTTTGAACTGTGGTGTGTGTTAAATATTTTCAGCAATGTTATGTACATCCTGTGTGGATTATATGGTTTTCAAGACAAACCGAAGATAACGTTTTCTGCTGTTCGTCTTGAAATCCACACAGCCCACATTAGATGTATATAGTATTGCGTTTAGCACCAACTGGGAAATGTGAGTGACAAAATATTTTTTTGGCGAAAGATAGTTTTCATTGTGGAAACACACTGACCTGCCAAGATGACTGCCTTGCAGCAGGATTCGCGCGGATATTGTACATTAAATCCGTGATCGAGCCCTGGTACGTTGCTATTTTTTGGTGTACACATGTGAATATGAATATGTTTGATGCAGCGCAAAAGTGTGGGGAAAGTGCACGTAGTGCTACATATTTCCACTGGAATCCTTGCTGATCTAACAAACCTGCCTTCATGGCATATCACCTCCATATATGATTTTTATATCCCATTTGCATTGTATTACCTAGGGAACGATAGGCTTTCTGATATCATGATATTGGTGTCGCTCTTGTCCATATCGCGCGCGCCGTGCATCTGAAAATATAGTGGCATTGAAATATCGAGAACTACAACCATTTTGATGCAAATTTTCTGCAATTCACCTTTTCCCCGCGGCTTATTCAGATATGTGAGGCACCCATTCCAGTTATTTACAAAATTCTCCAAGCGCTGCTTGTGTGGCTCGCGTGGATACTTTAGGGAAGCAACATGACCTCAGCAGTGGTGGAAGGCCAAGCACACGCCGCGCAGTTCAATCCTGCCTGTCCCGATGGAAGCTACGAGCTGGATCTCAGCGACCAGACAGAGAGAGCAGTGGCTGTTCAGTTGTGCCAGCTTGACAACGCTGCAGATGACGATTTCATGCGAAATGTCAAACTGGACAAGCAAAGCATATCAAGCATAAAAGCCCTCGATTGGCCTGACAGGTGAAGTAAAGCTTTGTTGCAGAAATCAATTTCTTCTACGGAAAGCGTCTTGGTTGCAGAAAACAAATAGCTGAGGTATTGTTTTGTGGCCGTGTTCATAGCATAAAATGTTGAGATATTTGTAAATTGAATGAACCTGCGCAAATAAAGGTAATGATGCGAGAGGCATAAGTCGCCATCGAGCTCAGTCCTGGATATATTCCGTCCAGCAAATATTTTTCAGATTGTGGAAAGTGTACAAATTAAAATTTTTCGGTCGGTACACTCTACGAAAGATCAACTTTGCGTTGCTTTGACGTCCAAAGAGCTAGTCAAGGTAATGAGATCGAGATTTCAGTTTTGGCAACAACCTGATTGAGGATCCAAAAGATTTGACTGTACTCAAAATAAGCACATTCTTGCACCTTCCTCCATTGCAAACATGTGTGCCCCATAACGCCAGTAGCGCATTCCCAATGTCGTGCCGGGACTCTGTTGCCATTCTCATGTTCCGAAATTGCTCGAACTAGGTTGCCGACTGTGGGGACCCTCACTGTGGACTACGTCACTATAAAGACCCGCCGCGTCATGCACGTCATCGACCAGAAGAAGCTCGCTGCGCTGGAGGCTCAGTTCTGCAAGCCGGCCATGTCCGACACGGAGCGCTCCAGCCTTGTCAGCATGTTCGCTCCCTACCATTTCTTCCTGTGTCATCAGATTGGCCACATGCTACAAAGCTTCACGCTGGGGGATGAGAGGGTGGACGCCGCCGTCGTTCTATTCGCCCGGGCCGTCGACACGGACGTGCACCTGAATGCACTTTTGGAGCCCCTTCACGAGCGGGAAAGGCGTCAGTTCTTGCAGCTACTAGGTTTCTATGCCTACTATGTGTTCACGAATCCAACAGGTGAGAATAGTCAAGCGCAGATCTTTAAAGCCGAATGATCATTCATTTCTGTGATTTGAGACATCTGGACGGCATTTCAAGGCTAAGCCACAAAACCCAGCCTGGATTTTCAAATTTCAAAATGAATCTGCAAAGTAACGTTTTTTTAGCGTTAAAACGGCCTGCGGCGCAACTGAGGGTGTGTTTCCTGGCGCCAGGACATTACGAACTGAATTTGACCACGCCGGCGCACAGGCACATTGCAAACCGAATCAAGGACGCCGCACTCGCGGAGCCAGAGAACCTTGTGTGGAAGAACATCGTGTTCGACAAATATTCAGAGCAGACTAGAATATCTGGAAGTTACGGCCCACCCGAAAAGTGGAAAACTATCATTCCTTCGGTTGGGTCGCTTTCCTTAGACTACGTTTCGCATGAAAGTCTTCCGGAAGGCGTGTCGGTTGAGACCGAGGAAGAAATCCAAGAAACGTTGATTTCAAAGGTTCTCTGTGAAACAGGTTGCCATCTTCATCGCAAAAATTGGGGAAGTAACGGTGACCCATGGAATGGGAAGTACTTGCTACTGATATGTGAAGGCTCGTGTCAATGTACTTATCCATGCATTTTCATTTACCAGAAATGCGTAGTTTGGGGAAAGAAAAGACGTGCAAATAACTTACTACTTTTATTGCCTGAATTCTTGACACCAACATAGAAACATAGGTAGATATTCTTGTTTTTTGTGATAGGTCTACCTTAGTATTGACCGTTAGTGCATGGTACTGGAGAATTCGCATATGAAAATGCATGAAATTACCTATCATGCGGTGTACAACGAGATGTGAATGGAAACGCCGTAGTTGGGAAAATTTGTCTGCACTTAGTACCCAAGGTTTTGCGCCTGCATTCCCTGAAGGGTTCCTGGAAAGGAATGTGTAAGAGTATCAACGGAGCACTCAGATGAAACACTCCAGATACAGCAGCATAATTTCGTGGAAGCCACGTGTTTTCGTTGTCGCATCGCACGGATAACTGCATTCTCAAGCTTTCATGTGCAGCACGGTGTCAGTTACGATTGCAACTCTGCATGGCGTTCCATGTACCCCCACCATGGTTCCCTTCGAGAGGCTGGAAACGCGTTGCGATACAGGAAACCTGTAAATCGACAGGGAGCCAAACGTTTTCTGATAAGAAATTTAGGCCTCATGTAACAATGGGACTCCGGTTGCATGGGCAAAAAATGGAAGATGTTAGCGCAATTTTCTAGATAATATCTATTCAGTGGCCTGCATTCGAGGTGCTGATAATTTATCAGCATCGGTGCGCATATGCAGGGCGATATACCCATTCAGTGAGTCATTTGTGACCCATTAACGATACGCTTAGAGTGCATTGATTGTGTTTTTGACGGGGGAAAGCCCTAATTTCATTTCCCTCACATCCAGATATCTGACGCCATTCTACGCAGGTGGGGGTTGCGTACACTCACGGCGTATTCAGGTCCACTTCGAAGGCCTCTCTCGCGGACAGTCAGGTCATGATGTTGAGGAAGGAGTTTGCTAGCCGTTATCTCACATGCTGCCAGGCCAAACACATAGTCAATTGCTTCAAGGTGAGCCCACTCATTCCAGGTGTGCACACTGCATTTGGAGTGATGTTGCTGAGAAAGAGCGACAAAACAGATCCTGGAAGTACTGGCAAGGCTTTTGCGGAATTCTGCACACGTGCCCAAACATTGATAAATTGGACATGAAATGGCGCCATGGTTTCTAGAGTCTTCAAGCATCTTGAATCAAGACTGCGTCAAAATATCACATCCTCCGACAGTCGCAAATTGACATCATCACTGGCTTTTCCAATGGTTTCATCAGCGGGAGTAGAAGATAGGCCTAAGGGACCCTGAACTCAGCCATTAGTGCCACAGTATTGTGGTTCCATAACAAGTTCATATACTGGATATGGGGTAGGATATTTGGGGTTCTATATCCTGGATATCGAATAGGATATCGGCGCCATATCGTGGATATGGGCACCTGGGATATCCTGAGATGCGATGAGGATACGGGTGAATGCATGGCCAGATCACGGGACATGGACCGCCATATCCTGGGATATGGCCATACGCTGCACTTCTATATCCATACAAATTTTTTCTGGGCGCGCATGTTGGGAGAAAAGCGTTAAGTGTATAATACCATTCTGAAGTTACACGAACCCTTTCGCTGCCTCAGCAATACTCTGAACATCACGTATTCTGTGTCTTCGAATCTTCTACATATCGGTTCATAGATGCTAATTGACGTTTGAGTAGCTTGGAAGCGAGATACAATGAATCATTGTGCTCACAGCAAATGTGAAGCTTACCGCGTTTTGGAAATTCTCCTGTTGCTCATCTGGAATTGAATAGAAGTTGCTGCAGTATTTTTGAAGCATTGCAGTTGGTGTAACAATGCAACTTGCATAAATTGTCTTGCATCATTTCCAACAGGCCTTGAGGCGAATGCCATCGTATCACCAATGGTGATGCATTGCCCCAATGCAGAGTTTCTCAGGAATGCACCCAGGGAAGCTGGTCAAAGAGGCCGCATCGATTTTTCCCAAAATCCGGATGCTCGTGGATGTATTTCATTATGACCATGATGACCAGGAAATGCGCAAATTGATGGCCATGACCAGGCTTGTTATTTATGCCGCAATGCCCCTGCAGCAACATTCAGGCAGAGCCGGCGTTGAAATCAGGGCGCATCGGCAGTGATGCCTGAGGATTGCCCTAATGCTGTCAGCTGCTGCATTGGTTTCCCAGCCACTTCAAGTGCCACCAAAGCTTCTGAAACACCTGCGCACATTGCACGACTCTATTTCCAACACATGCAGTGCGTTCGCAGCTCAGCCCTCAAAGAGTTGAGGCAGCCGTGGTGTGCTACGCCAATATCGTGGACAAGGAAAATTTCTGGCAGGTGCTGTACGCCCTCAAGGGTATAGAACAAGCAACGGCCGCCTTACGCTTGGGCCCTCTCACTGTCTTCAATCCAAAGCACGCCTCCATTCATTGGCTGTTGGATTTCAGTCATCCCTCGCACGAAGAAGCTGCAAGGAAATTGGTTGGCGTGGCCTCCAGTGATCAGGAACTGCCCAATTTATGGAACATCAGGCTTAATGGTAAGGTGAAAGGACGTTAGTCCTGGCTGTCCAACTTGCGTGCAAATGCTGTTGGCCTGCCATCCATCTTGAAACAGGACTTTGGGATGAAGTTTATGTTGCGCTTGATACATTGCGAAGAAACGAGCCATCAATGCCCATGCGCGAATTTCGAATGCCCTCGCTACATGGATGGTGGCACCAGGGACTTGCTGCAGCATTTTCTAAGGATTGCACCAAAGGCAAGACACCGAATTCTCAAGTCAAACTCCCTTCTATACGCTTGTAATTGTGGGGTAAACGTACACTGAAAATGAACGGCCCAAACACACATTTCTATGCAATTCGCTGTCTCAGACGTATCCGCAACCGTTTTGGGACCATTCACAGCCAATTGGCCGAGAATCCCGTTCTTACGCCGTTGAAATCTGTGTGTGGGTGCTTACAAGCCATTCTTAGTTTTTGGTTTTGTTGTTGCATTTTAAGCTCCTTTGCCATTTAGGGCTCAGGATAAATGTGTATGGAAAATAAACAGGTTATGAGTGCGGGAAGAGGGGGCTTTAGCGCAAAGTGGACAGAGAGTATTCAGGGAACAGGTGGTGAGTACGCCCGGGAAGGGAATTGACTGTGAATGCACAGAACGGGATGCAAGCACTCGGGTTCTGGATCGCAATGTGGTGGAATTCTTACCCGGAGCGCCATGAATAGGACAACGGGGCTTGAGATTGGCCACTGCAACCTTGCACTCAGGTCGACGAAGACATATACCGGAGAACAACAACATGTGGGCGGTGCTGAAGACGGACACACGTACCCCCATCCTTGAATTTGACTTCCTTGGGGCGGACGCCTGGGAAAATTACGGCAGCGGTATGAAAGAAGAGGGGGACATGACAGGAGGGGAGAAGTTGGAGTTCCGCAAACGCCAGGTGTGAATCCGTTTCCCTACCCCACCCACCAACAAACACCATGCCAGCAAGGCATCATACCACGTTCCACTCCTCGATCCTTTCCTTTCCAGGGGGTGCCTCTCAACACTTCACAGAGGACATCTGTTGGATGGACATGAAGGGCCAGTGGTTGTGGCAGAGGATGATACTTCTGTGTTGCTGAGTGTTCCCAGTATTTGATCCTGCTAGTCGCTGCAAGCACTTGGGTACTGCCATCGGCGCCCTAGAAACCATGGGGCACCATGCTGGGCAGCTTGTTTCCCAAAACAAAGTGCTAGGATTAATACAGCACTGCCACATGGGTGTTGAACATATCAGGCGCAGAGACTGGAGACCATACGGTTGAAGCAGTTCTATCCATACTTTCCGGACGACAGCGGCTACAAGGCGCCAGAGTGGCAAACAAGGCGAGCACTGATGAAGCCCCTGCTGGAGAAGTCCCCCTGGCTAGCAGTCTGGGACCGGCAGGTTCGGAAACTGGTCAGGCTGGCCATTCGGATGGGGGAATTGCAGGGATGCTCGCCGTTGGACGATGTGTATGACCAGCACACAAAGGGAGACTTGATGACTCTGGCGGAACTGGCACAGGTGCCGAGCATCACTGGTCCACTTGTCAAGTCACATCACGTCTGTGTCCCGTGTGAGCTTGTGCCTAGCATGTTGCTTTGACAAGGGCAAGCATTACTCCCACTAGTAGAGTTCTTGAGAAGAACAGGTTTATTGTAGCCGAGGATATCCAAAATATCCCACTCAACCATTTGTTCAGTGTCAGTTGATTGCCACACTTCCATGCTGGTTGTACTCAGTGCAGTTACACCACTTTCATTGCATGGAAAGGACTGCATATGTCCCTGGAGAGCATTTGCCTGACTGAAGGCAAGCTTTCGTGTGCCACAGTGGTTACAAACCAGCACAACAGGGCAACCAGGGTGCTGCTGTTTTACAGGTGACCAAGAGTAGTGGCTACACCCGAGCAGAGGCTGCACACTACGAGAATCTCTTCATGGAGGTCATGAAAGAACAAGATGGTTGGGATGACGAGGGTGAGGAAGAGGAGGAGGAGGATGACGAGGAGAGGGGCGTTACATATGACGAGTTTGTGTGTATCTTCATGACTGAGCCTCCTAGTGTCCAAGACCCAACACAGTGGAAGAACCTCCTGGTACCAGCATTGGCTATGAGCCAAGAAGCCAAGACCAAGCCAAAGAAAGCAGGAAAAGTGTGACAATGGCGTTGGACTAACTGGCATCTGGATCAAAGCCGTTGGGCACCAGAGGATGGACTGGCAGCGTCCCCTTGCTACACTATTTGTTAGATATTTGCTGCTGCATCCAACACGGGGGACGCACATCGAGGAAAGTGCTTGGAGTATGACCGCCTCCACGGTCGTGCTCCCAGCATGAGTCTTGATTTGGTGAGTAGAATGGGTCACCAAAACAGCTGGATCATGTTGGCTCAAGTCCTCGACATGCTGACAAGCTGTCTCAAATTGTCACAAACCCAAACAACAACACCGAAAGGACTATAACATTGCTTCAAGAGCATGCACCCAGTACGACCCGTGCGCCAAGCATCCCTCCCACACAGTTCCGCCCCTTGCTCGCCCATTTCCCCCACCGCTCAACCGGGGCCCACTTTCGGAATGTCGTGGTGCTCCGTCAGCTTGGCCAGGTACTCGTTGAAGTCCCTGATCCTCTCCCTGTGCGACTTCTTCGCCAGCGCCCCCACCTGCTTCTCGTCCCGCCGCTTCAGCCACGCGTCGTACTTGCGCTCCGCCGCCGTCCGCCTGTCCTCGGTGCTGGACCGCGGCGGCAGGTGGTACCCGTCCGCCACCTCCTTGGGCTCATCCCCGGGCATCAGCCCTTCAGCAGCGCCATCCCCGTCCCCCTCTCCCTCCCTGTCGCCTTCACCGTCGCGGGGGGCAATCTGCATCTGGGATCCCTCCCCCTCCTCGTTGCCCTCCGCGACCGCCTTCTTCTTGGCCTTGTGCTTCTTCGCCTTCTTCTTCGTGCCGCCGCCCGTCACCGCCAGGCCGCCCTTCAGCTTCAGCTGGCCCCGCGCGAATGGCATCTCGCCGATGGGACAGTTGAAGCGAGGTGACGGGGACCGGTTGAGAGGGGGTCTAGCAGCGTCGCGCGTCGAAGGGCCTGGCGTCCGCCGACACGAGGTGGTAGAATATGACCAGGACCATGACCGTCACCCCCAGGAGGTTTGCGAACCGGCCCAGGTCGCCGTCGTCTATCATTGCGCAAGAAGCGCGCCGCGGGGAGCTGGTGTGCCATGTTCTGTTCTGCGGCTGACTGGGGGCACAGCCCCCACAGCCAGCGGAGGTCAAAATTGCGTGAATGAGAAAAAATGATGTGGTTGGGGAGGAGTCGGGTACAGCACGAAGTTGGTGGTTGCGTCCCAAAAGGCTGAGAAGGAACGCCCAGGACCGTGGATTCGGTCTGAAATGCATGTTTTATTGCCTACCAAACGAAAGACCAAAAATGAAAGACGAGGTGTGCAGCATTGCAGAATGGGTACCAATCCAGCCCTCTTCCTCGAGCCAAATACGTGCATCCCTTCAACGAACTGTTCGGATTGCCAGTCCCCGACCGCTAAGCTGGCTCCGTCAAGCACAAATGTGCTATCTTATGAGAAAATGCCCAGGCCCTGTCTGCCAGCAAGACTGCAGTCAAGATATCAGAGCACGACCGCGCCATCGCCACACACCATCGGATGGTGTGTGTGCCCGCGTCCGCCTCGCGCACGGCACGGCTTCAGCCCTCACACCCGGCAGCTTCCTCCGCCCATTTGTCAGCCCACGCCTGCAAGCCTTTTAGCTGGCGCACCAGCCCGCCCGCTGCTCGTCGCTGTCCATCCGCAACCGCCCGCAGAGCAAGGGGAAGCCGAAGCCAGCCATGCAACGCAACGAGGCGGAGGCCGAGTGCGACGCGAAGGCGCCGCTGCTGCCCGCGGAGGGCCCCGGTGCGCCGCATCGCGTGGCCGATGGCGCCGATGCCCATGAGGCCATCCCGTTCCTCGACTCGCCAAGCTACACGGTGCTGTTGCAGACGGGCCTCCTGACGGCTCGGTTCCGGTGAGTGGGGCGGCTCCTCGGGACATGTCGACATCGTTCGTGAGACGTCCCGAGGCCAGGGCGGGTGCCCCTTTTTTCTCCTCGTCAGCAAATCTGCACCGGAACGCGGCGCCTGGTGCACACGGGGCTGGCAATCTGATTAGTGGCGCGTGGCGCGTGGCCGCAGCAAGCCCAACCTGGAGTCGCTGGACCTGATGCCCGCCAACACCAGCAAGTCGAAGAACTTCTGCAGCCGGACGGCCATGTGCCTGATGATCCCCCTCCTGGGCGGCTGCTGGTACGACGCCATGAACATGCACTTCTTCGTGCCCGCCGGCTGCGTCCAGAGGCTTCAGGACGGCAAGGTGCGCCGGCCCCTCCCCTGCTGCCCCCCGATTCGGGGCCCCACGCTCCTCGCTACCATCCCCACGGCTCCGCCCATTCGAATGAAGTTAATCGAATTAGTCAAGAGCTGAAAATCCGTTGATTTTTCTCGTGCCGTGCTCCAGGGGGAGTACCACCTAGCGGGGCCGGGCCACCACCGGGTGATGGGCTACTTCTGGACGCGCGTTGGGGTGCCCACGCGCATCGTGGACGGCGTCCAGCACGGCGACCGCACCGTGGTGGTGGTGGAGCAGGGCAGCGTGGGCCTGGCCTGGGACCTGGGCCAGCCCATGCTGCTGCCGCCGGGCGTGCACGAGTGGCGGAGCGAGACGTTGCGGTTCGAGAGGTGCATCAGCCTTGACAACCCCGTCATCGCGGTGGGGCCGTACACGCTGGTCACCGTGGACGATGGCTACGCGGCCATCACGCTCAACAACGGCAAGCTGACGATTCTGCCTGGAGGTGAGTGCCAGAAGGGTGGGGCGAGGGAGAGGAGCGGGGCCTGGGGCTGGGGCTGGGAGGGCGCGGGTGCCGGGAGCCCTGGGAGGCGAGGCCTGCGGAGCGTTCTTCGCGGCTGACAATCAAACCCCGATGGTCCGAGTCAGACAGAAAGAAAAGAATATCTTATTTTCCACGTCATATGTGGAGGATAAGATATTCTTTTGTTACTCGAAGGAGGGCCGGGATTGGACGCGAGGCAAGGAGCAAGAGGGTCTAATGCTCGAGGGCGCGGTGACCGCACGTCAGGAAAATTTGCAACAAGTGACATTGCAAACCGCGGGCAGCCTGCGGCTGTGCTGGCGACGAGAATGCGGGCCGCTGTCTTCTTTAATGTCGATGGCATGGTGTTGTCCAGAAGTAGTGTGGTTTGCGCCCAGCTTTTCACATAGTGCACTCACTCCGAAGCGAGTCTGAATCCCAACCTGCGTGTATGGAGTTCCGAACCCTAAAGCGTTAAGCACTGGAACTTTAACACCGTCGTCTGAGCTGCCAGTGGGGGCCCAATCCACAGTCGGTCATTTGCCCAGGCGCACAGTGCGTGCAGAATGCAAATGCCAAACCGCGGGCGCAGTGGCCGCCCGCTCTGCCCTGGCCACCCCTGTTTGCCAAAGCTGTTGATAACAGACATGAACGGCCACAGTGCAAGTGCGCAGAGCACATGTAGTGCTTTAAGGTTGGCATGTGCCAATCAGTTTCAATGGCCTTACAGGCGATTTGCCTTGAATCGTTTGCTGCATGCATTCTGCAAAAGGATATCGCTGCAATATACCCTGCAAAGACAAACCGTGTTCTGGTCCTGAAACACGAACGAATGTAACTTTTGTCGCAATCAGACAACAAAATTTCGAGGTAACCTCGTCGAAGCCTGCAGGCTCTGTGCATTTCTTGGACCATCGCAACTGGAAATTCCAGAAGTTCATCACCCTAAAGATGCAGACAGACAACCTGGAGAAGATCATGGCCACCACGGCCGACAATGTGATCGTCGCCGTCACGTCCACCGTCAACTGGCGCATCATCGACGTGGAGACGGCCTCTCTGATGGCCATTAAGACGTTGTATGTCGGTGAGAGGGAGGGGAGCCATGCGGCAGACATCAAGAAGCTGCAAAATGACATCATGAAGCAAGCCGAAGCGTCGCTGGCCTCCTTCATAGGGTCGGTGAACTACAGCGACACATTCCACGTGGCGGCTGCTGCGCAGGTAGGACTCTGGCGAAAATCGCGGAGGCTAATTTTGATGGCGCGAATGGCTGCACTGCCGCCGTATCCAATTCTGATGTTGCAACTATGCTGGGCCGTGCGATTTCGGTGATTGTGCGTCGATGGTAGGTTCCACAGCCGTGGGCAGGGAGGGATGTACACACTCACAAGCGCGTGGATGTGTGCCTGTCCAAGCTTCCAAATTGATACGCCATGTGCCACGGCGCAGGCAACAAACTTAGACAGCAGCCCTTATATTAACGGCAATGTGTGTAAGGCTAATTATTGCTGCTAGTATAAGGTGTGTTGTCCCATACCCACACCATAAGTGTAGCCAAGCGCAGACCATGCTTGTGAACATGGAATGATTTTAAATACTGCTCATTCGGCGCATCGTAATAAATGAAATTTGGAGGACGACGGGAACAACTATAGGGAGTTTGGTGACTACTTGAGCGTCTCGTTAAAGTCGCCGTGTACTCCACTTGTGCAGTCCTGCCCTGGAGAGGCGGCAGTCTGGCGACCCGCAGCTGTGGCGGCGCTTGCCGCTACTTATACCTGTTGGAACTTCCTTGTTTCCGGGCGATAGCCCCCTTGCTGTGGCGAGTCCAGGCGCGGCGACTTGAGCACAGGCACAAAGGTGGTACGCGCCACACCGAAGCGTGTGTTGCCGGGACGGGTAATGTTACCGGTCACGTGGGAGGAGTACACGGCGACTTGAACGAAACGCGCTACTTGAGACGTCTACATGCCCAAGATTGATGGCATGATTCCTCTTATGTCATTAGGCGCTGGTAGTCTGGAAATAGCCGTGGATACATGTTGTGGTTTGAAACGGAGAGCATGCTCGTTCGCTGTGGACGTACTAGACAATTATTTGCGTGCAGATATTGGTATCCTAGTGCAGTTGTGGATACGTTGCATACAGTACATGTGCACAGCGAAATCTGCGATTTCAGTCAGCTGGAATGGCGTTTGCAATTGCAGGCGGCAGCATCAACATCGGTTGGTGTTCCAGTGCCTGGTCAGGAGAAGCACGCGGATATCAGCGACAATCCCATCTTTGACAAGAAGATGATGAATTCGGCGGTGCACCATGCCAACGAGGTCACGAAGCTCTATGGTGTAGAGATCATATCCATCAACATCATCAGGTGACAGGGGTGCCACTACCGTCACTTTCTGCGAACTACCCTTCGTTTTTCGTAGCATGGGGACAAATTTGGACGCGAACAACTGCAGCAATAAACAAACGTCTTGCCTGCAGTGAATCGCCATACCTTGCCGTTGTATGCCAATGGCAATTGCGACGTGCAAGCAGCAGGGGAAATGGCTATTCTCTTGTTTATCTACCGCCTGGCTTTCGTTCCAAAGTTATCTAATTGGATCTTGATCTCCCTATGTTCGGCGTCTGCACTGCGCATGCTTGGTGTGTTCGATTCTGCTCGTTTGAGCATGTTGCGGAGCCGTTTCCTGGAAGATCATGCGCCGCGTGCAAGGGGAGAGTTGCACTTTCGCTAGCGCTCCTGTGCCCCTAATTCTCTCGATGCTTGGTACTCGGAGATCCGCGCGTTCCTTGAGAATTGCAGCCGCTTCTTTTCACTGGTTCAACTGGCGCATTGGCCACACCTGGCCCCCCGTTGATTGTTGCCTCCGAATAATTGCTCCTAAGGCCAGCTGCACATCACCACGGGAGTGCAGCTTTCTACCCGCCCTTGCGCCCTCTTTACCGGAGGTTTCGTGGCGCACTGACTCGCCCTGTTTCCCGCACATAGTGCCAATCCTGTGGACAACAAACTGACTGTCGCGCTGTCATCGGGAGCGGTCGCGTCTGCCGAGGCTCTACAGTCGGAAACGGCGGCAAGGGCCAATGCCAAAGCCCAGTTAATCGAGGCGAAGACGGCAGCGGCGAATAGGCTCAAAGAGGCCGAAGCGGAGGCCGATGCCCTCCGCATGGAAGCTAGAGGTGGGGGAATATAATCAGTCGCACGAAGGACAGCTCTGCAGCTAATGTTCCCTATTTTGTGTCGTTCTTTGGCTCAACGAGAGACAGCGACGGCAGGCTTTCAACGCTGTGATCGAAGTTTTCATATCAATAGCAATTTTGAGAGGTATCAAATATTGGTATCAGCTTAGGTTCTGTTATTTACGACCTCAGGTTGGCAGCCGGAATCTGCAAAGTCTCTGCTTGTGCGTTTCGACATTTGCCTGTCATTGTGTATGACCTCCTGAGCGCGACCGCCCTGCGAGAATTTATGCACGTGACGCACCTGCACATGACATGTTCGTGTTGTCCCCAGGCAGCGCGATGTACACGACAGCGAAGGGAGTAGCCTCCAGACACCTCTTTTGATTTGACGCCTGTATTGGAATCGCATTAAGCGAGACAAGAGTGAACTGAACTGCCGAAACATGTAGCTTTTAATATGAAATACCGCTGCCCATGTGAAGAAGCAGAATCTCACTCAAGCATGCAGCTCTTGAGCGGCGAAAAATTTTTCTAGAATTGCTCACAGTGGTTGCCTCCGCAACACATCAGCAATGCTGGTGCAGGACTAATGACCTCCAGAATGTCTAACGGAAAACAAAATGCCATCCGAATGAGCTAAATACATGTCTGAAATGTTTACCTTTATCGAATCAATAAAAGTCACATCAAGTGCGCAAAACGCGCGAAAACACGCAAAGGTGGTCTGTGGTAAGCCCAGTTCCAACTACATTTTGTAAGTACTACTCAAAATTTATTCCTGTTCGTGTTCCCGTTCTGAGCCCTGAAATTGCATTATTTTGTCTTTGGAGCTTCGCAAATGTGAAGCTAAGGCAAAAACAACGTCTGGGCGATCATTGAAAATTTTCCTTCAGATTGTATGGCATCGTATGTCGCATACGGGCCATTAATTTGTGCCTTTGGTGCAAACAGGCGCAGCTGATGCGACGCTCATCAAAGCCAAGGCGGAGGCTGAGGCGGAGAGACTTCGAGCGGCAGGCGCCAAGGACGCAGCAGATCTCCTGGCGTCATCTGACGTCGCCGTGGACTTGGCCAAGATGGACAAAGCGGGGGTGGTGATGGGAGACAGGAGCAAGTTCTTTTTCGGCCAAGACCCAGGTTATTTCGCGAAAATCATGCTGCGGGAAGTGGAATGATGGCGGTCGAGCTTGCCTGGGACAAGTTGAAGGGAGCCAGAGGCCTTTTGGGACGCTGGTCGTGGATGATGCTGCCCGTCATGCCCTGTGTCCTTGGGGAATTTTGAATGGAGTTGCGTTCCTGGGGCCGAATGGCAAAGCGCGCATCACTGGAGTGGAGATGGAAGACACACGTGATGGCCATGGATTGCGACGTAACATGAACGCATTTAGTGGTGGATATTGGATTTATTTCTGTGCAGGGAGCGTTGTGCGGTATTTCATCCACGTGCTTGCAAGAGGAATCGAATGGATTTGCAGGTCGTTCTCTTGATGTAGATGAGCGCAAAGCTTGAGCTCACGAAAACGAGACATTGAATTCCATAGCCTTGCTTCTGAACGATCAGCCGCAGGCACGTTTGGTGGGATTTTGAGCGCCGCCTGGTTTGGGCTAGCGCGATAAGCGAACTTGTCAACCGCACTATGAGTAGGTATTTGGCCGTCTCATAACAGAGCAGTAGCGGGAATCGAAGCGCATGGGAAAATGGTTGTAATCTGCGGATAGATTTCTTTGAGTTCGCATCCAAAAGGCAAAGGGGGGCAGACTGTGCTGCCCAAACGATGACAGGGATGCACGCATCCAAACGTTTCCTGTCCTCAGTTGCCCAGGTTATCCACTGGCCACCTGTTCACTGAGCATATACAGACGGTGGTTGGACCAAAGAAGAGAATTCGGTATTCAAGATATGCCCATGACCACGACAAGAACACTCCTTTCAAACAGGTGAAAAATGATGCGCGTGTCGAAAACGGACAACATTTAATTCCGACGGCCCCATGGCCCACTAGCTGCCCACGTGTCGCTCTCTTTTAATACCAGATGTGTCATGACGCCTGGTGGTCTCTAGGTCCCTGTGGCCATCGATGGGAGCTGTTCCAGGCAGCCAAGAAGAGTGTATTTTGTGCAACAGTCAGGTATGTGAGCCATGCGGCGTTGGCAGTGGAGCTGCACTTCATGCAATGCTAATTTAACGACCAAATGCGGGGCATGCATCTGTTGCCGAAGAAAAGCGTATTTAGTCCAGTTCACAGCATTGCGCCTAATTTTGTGAGCAAAGTGGTTGGACAAGGTAAAGTTGTGAACGCAAAGCTCCAGAAGCCTACAAAATGGAGATAATATGGCAACTGCGTTTATCGTTCCATGTTTGTGGAAGGTGGGATGTTTTTTTATGCGATATGAATGCCTTCAAGACGCGAGATTGCTCCTGCAAGGCGCAAGATTGTTGAGGAAACGTCATTTTGCAGCAAAGTTTGTCGAGTGCACGGTGCCGCCAGGCACATCACTGCGATGTTGTCAAAGTCATCGTACACATATGTGTGCATGCTCCGATATTGATGCTGAAGATCTGCCAATGTGAATGCTCTGTGGCTCAAAATTGTCGTTTCAGGAACAAAAACAAATACGTTGTACATTGGTGCACAATACCCCTTGTGTGCCCCATACCATCATATTCCACGGAAGGCTCTGTGGGCGCCTCGGCATGTTTTGGCATGTCCATGCTATGTTTGGTGATGCATGGAAATCACATACAATGCAGTGGCGCATCAACGTGAATCATCTGCGTGAATCAGAGACCAAACAGCATCGCCCCTCCCACGCCACATCCCACAACGGACCCCAAGAAACGGGGTGTAACCGTCGCTTCGCTTGAAGCATCATTAGTCACGCCGTCCCCCGTGGACAAGTGGCAGTCACCACTTTCCGGAATTTCGATCCCATGGCCTCCTGAAGCTGGGGGGGGGGCGTTTCTGGCAGGCCTGGCGATCCCGCGGGGCGGGCGGGGACGATGCCGGCGGCGGGGGGAGCGCCCAGGGACAGTGAATGGCGCTCCGAACGTGGCGCTGCGGACACAAAGGTGAGTCGCATCGGCTGCCCATGTCGCGAGTCCAACGCTGCCGCACGGGACTGGGAGGACACTGCGTCCCGACACAAATCGCGGGAGCCCGAGCGTGGCGTGCCACCGGCGCTAGCTCCCCCTTGACCAGGACTCATCCCATCTGCCTGCCGCGCCAGCTCTGATTGTCTTCTAACCGCGGCATGTCTGGAGTCGCGGCCGGTCGTGGAGATGTGAAAGGACGCCGTCACTGCTCCGCGTGACACGCCGCATCAATCTCGCCCCCGGGCACCGCGGTCGCGATGCGGGGCCGCGCGTTTGCGGCGCAGCACGGGCGAGCTGCGCGATCGGCTTCGGCGCTCGTCGCGCGAATGGGATGGTCGCCGCGAAAGTTGCCGAAGTTGGCGGCGAACGCTGGCGACGTCTGGCAGCGGAAAGGGACGTTGGGGCGCCGTTGATGCGGCGACCTCGCACAGCGGACTTCCGCGGGCGGAATAATGGGAAGTTGAGGGTGGAAGGTCAAGCGTGCGCGTCGGTGGTGTTCTGCAGCCCGGTGATTTGACTGGCCGTTCACTTTGCAACTGATGGGTCCGCCTGGAATGGCGCGAGGGCGCTCAAGTGTGGGCTGTTAGCCAGTGAGTTGTCGAATATTGGTTTACTCGGTATTTGAGAGCCCTGCAACCAATGATGGGGTCAGTTGCAACTTGACTGATATCTGTATGTTTGTGCTGGAAGGATGAATTGGTTGTGGAAGGTCAAAGTTCGCAATTTGTGCCAAAGGGAAGCTTTCACGTGCTGATATTTTAAGGAGGTACGGGGTAGGAACCCCGTTGGAACACCTGTGATTATATTTATGCGAAAAAAACAAAAGATGACTCTCGGACCTTCCAGTCGATGGCGAGCATAATTCCACAGAGAGAATGGACCTAACAATTCCATTCTTTCCAACACAGATAGCAGCCCTGTATCACGGCGAGCAGTTACATCCTGAAGGATGAACTGCTTCTGCCCACAATGTTCGATTTTAATGGGCTAATTGTGCCGATAGACCCTATGCAGCTACACTGTGCCTGAATGGCAGGCTGCGCATTGGGGTGCAGGATAAGGCACCAGGTTGCTGTTGGCTGTCAACGCCTTTTGTCCACCCCATTTCGCAGTGGTGGGCTTCGCAGCCTTGTGAGGACTGTGGACGTTTCAACTTGCAAGATCTTGCGACCTTGGAGAGATGGGGTGGCCCAGTTGTTGGCTTCAAGGACAGCCGGTTAACAACTAAGGAGCGCAGCTACTCGCCTTGATTTGAGGAACGACACGCTGCATAGCTGAAGTGCTGGTAGAAAAAGACCCAAATTGTGTTCAGCTTGTTGAGTTTCCAGACAGAGCTTCTTGCTGTGTCGATGCACGATTTAAATGGTGTTGAGAATTGCAGTGGACGTGTTCAGGGCGGTGAGGATGAATCAGAGGAAGCAGACACGTTGTTGGGCCATCCAGGTAGCACACAAACGGCACTGGATGCTGTGTCACCATTGTCAACAACCCATCGCGACCCAAGCTTCCACCCAGGAAACTCAGCAGGTGGTTTTTTGTCAAGTTGCCGATTCAAGGACCGATGTGTGAGAGCCACAGAGAAAGAGGTCACGAGGTGACATTCATTGCAAATGTGCTCAGGCGTTTGCTCCAAAAACAGGAAAACAGTGACTGCAGAGAATGCTATTATGATTGTGTGCAGGCCTGTAGTATTGCATTCTCTGCATGATTGACCTGCAGGTTAGATCCAATCTTTTCTGCCAAAGTCACTGAAAGAATAATATGAAGCTGTTCTAGAGAAAGACTGAGCACAGAACCGAATAAGAAAAGGCAATGGAAAAGTGTCAGATGCTCCACCTGACAACTGTTTGGTCACTGGCCCCTGTGCCTGCACCAATGACGCTTCCTTACGGTGCAGTCCTTGCCACGAGCTGAATGGGCATGCGTGGAATCCTCCGAAGGGCCAGTGCATATGTGCACCTATGGAGAAGACACAAACTGCACAACTGTCGCACTGCCCATCCTTTGAACTGCACCTGCCAGATCTCTTGCAGCACTGTTGTTCCAATGTGAACTCTGACATGAGTATATTTACCCTTCGGAATGTTGGAATGTAGCTTGTCCTTTTGAGTGGTCTATTCCTTGGTATCTTTGCACAATGATTGTCACCTATTCGTTTTTCGCTCAGCATCACATCTGCAGGGGCCACAATAGCAAGGGGACAAGCTGGGGCAGCAGTGAGGTTTTTGCAAGCGCATCCCTTTTGCTACCGTACATCTCCCAATATTGGAGGAATGCAAAAAGCTTAAAAATTACTCATGAGCTAAAGCTCAATGCTCTGGAGAAACGTTCAAATTTGCATGGCATCTTGTAGTAAGGAATTGAGTTTTCAAATCCCAAGAGTTGTGACGCTGCTTCAAGCATCCATTCCCATTGCCCAAGTAACCTAAAGGCATGTGCTTGCCTGCTTGCTTTGCTATGATTGGAATGGATTGAGTGTGATTTTGAGAGCAAATTCCTTGACACATAACTTGATTGTTCCTCTGGCCTTACTTACTCGAACTTACTCTGGGATTTGTGCATCGTGTGCAGGCTTACTGTATCACCTGATTTCCAGGACTGGCTCCGATGGAAGATGTACAAAGCAGGGAGGGGTGCAAGATGGGGGGTGGCAGGTTTTGCAGTGATGTTCTTTATTGCCACGATCGCAGCTCTGGAGCGCAATGCTAAGCTGCAGTTGGTTGAGGAGAAGATGCTTTTGGCAGGGGGGGAACGACAGCCGCCCACTGCAGCGGGACAGGTCATGGTGGCAGCTTATTGCAAAGAGCATGTGGCGGACTTGGAAAATCTCCAAGCGAAGATGAAGAAGGAAATTTCAGAGCTGACAACAAAGGCGGAAGGCATGGGCGTGGATGAAAAGGATGCCCACCTTCAAAAGGAGAGAAAGGAGTGGGAACAGGAAAAGAGTAGATGGAAGAAGGAAATGGGTGCAAAGGGCAGTGCTGCCAGGGCTGCACAGGACCAGACCGAAGCGGACAAGAAGAGAATTCAAAACATGCAGGAGAACCTGGACAAGGATAGGATTGCGTGGGACAAGCAGCAGGCATTGAAGGATGAAGAAATGTTGAAAGCCATGAAGCAGATCCAAACTGATCGAGAGCAGCTCTTCGCTGCACAGAAAAAATTTGCCAGTGAGAAGGACACATGGAAGAGGACGCCTGAGGCACGAAGTGCTGCACTACAGGCAGCAGGGGAGCAGCTTGCAAGGCACAGTCTGACTTTCACGCAGCAATCGTTGGAAAAGACGGATGTGAATGGCATGGATATGCAGGCAGTGCAGCAACTCAGAGAAGAATTGTCTATTCTGAGGGAAGAGGCCATCAAATACAAGACCAGGGAGAGCGAGCTGTGGGCGGATGAAAAGCGACTTGTGGATGAACAGAGGCTGGCAGTCAAGGAGGGGGCACAAGAGTGTCAGGTTTGTGCTATTGTGCATCAACGGTTTGCTAAACAGGGAACTGGGGCAAGCTCCAGATGTGCCAAATGATGCTCCAGCTCATGTAACGATGCGGTGGTGCACAGGGTGAAAACTTGTTTGGAGTTGTGTATTTGCCTTCCTTTGGCTGCACGTGCTTGAGCAAGAGTGGAAGGATGATGCGGGCTGGAAGTCTGACAGCTAGTTTGTTTCTTGTTGCCCTGCTCTTTCTCAAATTGCGTCCCATGGATGTCAGTGCTGTGTTACGCCTTAATTTGGTTTATTGTATATCAGTACATTGTGTGGTAATTGTTCTGTTGGGAACCTGTTAGACACTGGAAGAGTACTGCATATTTGCAGCACAGCAAGTTGGAAAGAACAAAGGTTTTATCAGCGATTGAATGCCAAGGAGATGTTAAGACGAGACAACCTGCACTTGGCAGTTTACTTGCCTTAATACATGTGCAAACAGGATTTTCTGTGCGAACAGATTAAAGCCATCTTTACCACGTGCCCTGCTGTATGCCAGGCTATCGAAAGGCAGGATGGAGCAGCACGATCAGCAGAAAATCCGTACAACAAAGTACCAGGGCTGTGGCTGTTGTGCTGCATGGTCTTTGCTCTTGTTGCACAAGTCTTTTTCTCCAGACAGCGAAAGGACAAGGAACTGAAATTTGCAGAAGCCAGAATTGCAGAATTGCAGAAAGAGTTGAGGACCAGGGTTCTGCATTTACCAGAACATTTTGCGGACCCCCCGAGGAGCGAAGACGAGGTGGATTTCGCAAATGAGGATGCCATGAGGCAGAACAGGGATAGGAACAATCGCCTTAAGGTCAGGGTAGAGGCGATGGAGGAACTAATGCAGGAAACTAGCGAGCTAGAGGAGTTCACCAGGGATCTCGATCATGTACGACGGAGAAATCGGGAGCCTAAGATGATCGCAGCCGAAGAGGATAAACTGAAGGAGTCTGCGATGCTGGTGCCAGCAAAGCAAAGACAAGCAGAGCTGGAAGCATTGGCACTTGAGGAGAAGGCTTTTGACCTTGGCAAGGCTGAGCGGAGGTGCCTTGACTTGAAGGCTCGATGCAAGGAGCTTCAGGAGCTTGCTGAGAGTGTGCCAGAGCTTGAGGCGCAGGTGGCCAAGCTGGAGGAGATAGCAGCTGAGCGCTCTGAGGTGTGTGTAGATGGGCTGTGTTTTTGCAAGCTGTTGGATTCGGGTGCAAATTGCGACCTTTGAAATTATGGCCAAGAGTTGGGTGACCAAACAAGACATAGTGCATGACAAGAACCTAACACAGCCCCTGCATTTGGTTGCTTTTGTAATTGATCCAGGGCAATGAGATAATTAGAAGCCACAACATGGAACTAGATAAACTTAGACACACTCTGATTTGGCACGGCCTCAATTGAACACTGTTTCACAGCTGTGCTTTGTTGTTGTAAAGTGCTAATGCCTTGATGGACCTTACATGGTGCCTGTTGGACTGTCCACAGCTGCACACGCCATGATGCTAGCTCTTGTGACCGTACCGCGCCCTCCCTTCTGCTTCCGCAAAATGCAGATCTGTACAACGTACTTGCAATGCAACAGTTTTTTTCTCCTCTTACAGTATTTCAGCTGGTTGCTACAGCTTCGAGTTGTTGCCTGGTACAATTTGTCGCCATTAGCGCTTGCAGGTGTTGTATGAAGTCGAACAGAGGGCACTGAAAGTCACGCAGCTGGAAGCGGAGATTAGAGAGAAGGAGCAAGTTGCAGACAGACTGCCAGCTGTGGAGCGGGAGATGAAGCTTGTGCTCCAGCAAGCAGCACAGGTCCAAACTCTGGAAGAAGAGGCCGACGAACTGGAAATAATTGCAAGCACCTGGGGGGCAGTGAAAGCCCGAAATATTGAGCTGAAGCAGAAGGTGAGCTTGGCACCTTCGTGAACGTTGTAGCATCAGGTTGCAAACAAAGGCACGACTTTGGTACTGTGTCTGGGGATCAGCGCGTCAGCCTGTGCTTTGCTGTTGAGCGGTTTGTGAAACAGTTGCTCAACAGATGGTGGTCTTGTGGTGCAGTTCCCAATTTCATTGTATTGTTTGAACTTGTCTCTTCACGCACAAGGTCATGTGCAGGATGTTTTGCTGATTCCCTTGTGCCAATCTGTCGTGAGTAATCAGCAGTGTGCTGCTATCCGCTATCCAATGTCCCATGCATGGGCGTCATCCAATATTTAGCTACATCTATTGCCCAAGTCAACCTCTGCGGATCACCAGTAGCATTGGTTTGCCTTTCTGTTGTTTTTTTTTTTCATGGTGTTTTAGCACACAGCAGCATTGTGACACTGTCAGGCATGTCATTGGCTGCTGCATTAAGCACATTGAAGTGGATGTGCTCATCCTGGGCCAAGTGCAGCACCTTGATGATGACAACCAGCAAGAAGAGGAGATGCGCAGGGGTTGCACTGTCCAGCTGTGATTTGCTATGGCAAAGATTTGCAAGTGACTGTGTACGTTTGTGCCCGAACAGAACACTTTGCCGTGCCAAGGAATCCTGTGCTTTGGTTGCATAGGCTACAGAAAGGACATGTTTTAGGCACCTGACATGGGAGCACTGCATTACACTTTGTATGCTTTGCAGTGCTATCAGGCCTAGAACTGATGATACTGAGAATAGCAGCAACTGCCATGCACAGGAGCAAGAAACCTGTGCTTCAGAGTTGTCTAGGATTTTCACAGGTCGCATGTGGTGGGCCAATATTTGTCAGTCGTCACTGACAGGGGCATGTCCGCGTGCCTGGAATGCAGGTGGCAGAGGTTGCTGTCCTGGAGGAAGAGTGCAGAGATTTGGTCAATGCTGCAATGGTCCTGGACACACTGAGGGAGAAGAGCGAGCTGTTAAGGGAGCAGGTGTGCTTGTTTGGGGCTTTCAATCAGATGACCTGTCAAATCTAGATGTGAAGTGCATTATGTAGCTGTCACATCATACAAAGTCTTGAAGGTGTCCGTTATCTGTAATCTCTTGCCCAAATTGAGGCAGCTTCACCTGTTGCCATAAGCATCTTGATGTGCAAGCGTGTATGAAACGGCTGTGGCCTTTAATCCCCAATTGTACCATGTGTGTTCATTGTTGGAAAGGCGATTTTTATTTGAAAGCCTGTATGTATCGGTTGATTAGCCATTGCTGATATTGTTTTGTGTGACTTGCTGGAATGCACTGTATTCAGGTAGAAGAGGCCCGGGCACTGGAGCAGTCCAACAGAGAACGCGCTCAAGCTCTGAGAGAAGCTGAAAATGAGGTTGAGAGATTGGAAAAGGAGGCCCAAGATCATCCCAAAGCTCTCATGGAGTGTGACGGGCTGCAAATGGCCGTTTCAGATATAAATACGCTGGAACAGGAGTCAGAAAATCTTAAAAAGCTTGGGAAAGGACTTGATGCTAAAAGAGAAGAACATGTCAAGCTGAAAGCAGAGGTGGGGATGTGGATTTGACATCAAAGGCGATACTTGATTCACAGAATGGGGTCGACCACACCTTTTTTGTATCCATTGGTGTACCCAACATTCGTGCATGCTTCAAGATTCTGTGCAGTTCAAGACAGGAATTTTAGGCTGTAGCGTTGTTTCCCTTACTGTCTCCGAAACACACCCTACCTTATGTCCAGGAACCAGGCTGGAGTTTTGTTGGCGATTACCACGTATCAGCACATTAAGGGAAGACACAATTTGATTTTTGTACGCTTGACATCAAATTGACGTTAAGGGGGCGGGGGGCGGTCCAGCCATTGCTGCTAAGAGATTATGTACTTGCACCAAAATCAAATAAGGTGGGAAGATGCACAAAGGCACCACTGATCAGCAGCAAATAGCTCATAGCTTGTTGCAAAACCTCCCTCAAACTTTCAATCATCCAGGTAGCCCTTAGAATGGATCAATTTTCAGGCTTTTGGACTGCTCTCATTGCCTATCATCGCTTGTGGCATCCCATTTTTCAAATCACCGCAATCGCTACAATTTTGGCTGTTTTTACCGTTAAAACTGTTCTGAACGTGTGTGGCATAATTAGGCAATGTTGCTGAGTCATCTTGGCATCGAAATAAGGTTGAACTCTAAGGAGAGGTTGGTGGTGGGTGGGTGGGTGATGGGATCTGAGCTTAACGTCAGTTTGGCGTTAAGCGTACCAAAATCAAAATAGTATCTTTCATCCCAAACATTCTGCATCAACAGAGGACAGTAGCAGGCTGTGCCCATATGCAGGGCGGATGAAGAATTGACGTTTAGCCAAAACATCCTCACGCACACCATAACAGTTTCAGTGTCATGGGAAGCAAGATATTTCAAGCTAATGTCTTTGGAAGTCTTCCCAATCATTTTGTTGCATGGACCACAGTAAAAGACAATGACCTTTGCATCAGGTCCGCACCAATGTCGTCCTTTTCACCAGTGCCAATGCAAATAGATTTCATCTTTCTGACCTCAAAACTTGCTAAGCGCTTTATGTCAGGTGTTGTTTGGTGATGGCTTGCTCACCCGATGCTGCCAACTGCAAGCAGGTGTGTGAGTGTACGTGTGGCACTGATGTGTATCGATTATATTGGGATGCAACACTGTGAATTGATCCGTTGGTAGGTCACAACTTGTTCTTTTTGTGTGGGCCTTTGCCAATGAAAACCAGAGAATGACCCTTGACAGCTGCATGCGGTGGCCAGGTCGAAAGAAAGCAAGCTGCCCACAGTGGCTTTGAAAAAGCTAAGAAGGGCCTAGAGGACGAGATCGCAAAACTAGGCGCCGAATCTGGAGATCTCAGTGGCCTGAGAAAGATCCATAGCGATTTGAAGACCAGTGCCGAGGAGGTTTTGGTGTTGAAAGAGGCGTCAAAGAAGCTTGTCAATGTGCCTGATGACTGGGAGCACGCTTGGAAGGAGCATAAGACGCTAAAAGAACAGGTACTCTGCTGCGATAGATGTTTCCACGTAACGATCTGAGCCTCTTTGTAAGTATCCCCTTTCTTTGCATGTTGCTGTGGTGCTGTAGAGTGTTCCAGCGTCACCTTCTAATGTGAAGCACGGATGCAAAACTTGGGGTGGTTATAGGTGTGTATCCATGCTGCAGAACACTGTCTACCACGGAAGCGAACTCGGCAATCCCTTTGTCAAATTGAAGACAGTCGCCGAATTGGGAAAGAATATCCACTGTCAGCCTCAAAATCCTGTAGCCCTGGATTCAGCACACTCTGGAAAAACGAAAACGGTGGCCAGTGTGTTGGACATTCAGACCTCTTCTGGTTGCCCTGCAGGGCAAAGAAGCTGGAGAGCTGCGAGGCCAGAATGCCAAGCTTGCCGACCAGCTGGAAGCAGTAGACAAGGGTTCTGCCAGTCTGAGAGGAGTTGCTGATCGCTTGGAGGCGGCCATGCAAGAGCACGGCAGCCTGAATGCAAAGGCAAACGAGGTTCGTGAGCTGGAGGAGGAATGTGACAGGCTGCGTCAGGTTGCCGAGTCCTTGAGTGAGGCCCAAGAAAAGAAAGCTGCGCTTGCCAAGCAGGTGTGACCCCACTTGCGCTCTCAGCTGGCGTGGCACATGCGTTTCATTTAAGAGGCAGCTGTGGATCTGTCAGTGGTCTTGTCAGAAGTAAGCATGGGACCAAATTGTTTTGCTGATTTGGGTGATGGCCAGATTGGCAGTTTCTCTTCCCTGCTGAACATAAAGTACAGACAGCACTTTCTGGGGGAAAGTGCACTGCTCCTTGCCCGAATTGTGGTGATGGAGGATGAGATATTGGAAGTTGATGCAGTTGGCGCAGGGGCAGCGTCGCTCAACAAGGGGGCGACTTCCGTTTACTCTATGGCTTGCATTTACGTTGTATTCCGTATGCCAGGTCGAGGCAGCTGAGGCTGCTGCAGAAGAAAGCAGACTGCTGGCTGCGGAGTTGAAAAGTGAAGAAGAAGATGCTGCACGGTTAAACACGCTTGTGGATCAGCTTCCAAGCGCCCGACAGAAGCATAGGGAACTTCAAGACAAGGCCAAAGAGCTGCATGCACTGGTTGTTGAGAGTAACAAGTTGGAGGCAACTGCAAGGAGCTTGGAATCTGCTCAAGGCAGGGGCCAGGTGCTACCTATTGATTCCTTATTTCCTTACTTTGCGCCTTACTCTGTGCTGCCCTAGTGCTGTGTAATGAGGAAGTGTACTGTTGGACGAGTCGCGTACAGCCCCTGCTGCTGTCATGACATTTTTCGCAGTTGTGGAGTATGGCATGGATTGTGCGCCCTCGTGCAAGCTTGTGAGTCATACTCTTTTAATATGTGTTGGCAGCAGGTGAGAGATGTGAAGGCCAGTGCTTTTGCATGGGATCGTGTGGGGCAAGCCCATGCCCGCCCCTCTCAAGACCCCGAAACTTTTTCAGATGCAGGTGGGGCATCTTCCAGCAGGATGTGGTGGTTTGCATTGCTCTGAGAATTTTGCCTGTGGTGGTAAAAACACCACCGGCAGGTGGTACATAATATGTGCCTTAGGCCACAGCTGTAAATATTGAATTGCTGTGGCTGTGGTTGTGTCATTTGATTTCTTCAAATTCGGCCATGACTTTTGGGCGCCCAGTTTTCACACCATCGCGTGTCATTTTCAAGTGGTGGATTGAGTGTTTTAAGCTTTTCAGCGCTGAAAGCCCCAGTGGAGAGATGCAGATCATAGTAGCTAAAATTCTGTAGTCTTGGCTGCTCATTTCAGAAGAAGGTGAATGAAATTGTCGCCGGGCGACGATGGTATGTTCGTTCCTATGGTCTGAAAATTGAAGCCCCTTTTCTTTGATTTTCCGTGCATGTTTGTTGGCATTTCAAACGATATAGCTCTCAGCCTCACTTTTTGACGTCTACCAACCTGCACTGTGGGAGATACTACCTTGCACCGGCACTCCAAAGGCTAGTGCCCTTTTCGATCCATGCATCCTAGTGTGCTGCCTGTATTCCATTAATTTACGCCTTGGCCCTCATTCCGTGCTGCTCCCAAGTTGGGAGTCCCAACGAGCAGTGATAGGAGCTCATGTGCCATGTGGCTGATGGGCACTATTGTGTTGTGGGAGCCCATTTATCAATTGTGATTGCACAGTCCACCACTTGATCGTATACCTCTGTAACCAGTGTATTCACAGCCGCAGGGACCGTGCGCTGCAGTCCCAAAATTCTCTGTGAAAATTTGATCAACATGCCTCCACTTTCGGTGGGCCACCGTAAGTGCGACCAGCTCCTGACATCACCTTGGTGCAAGAGAAGTGTCTGTTCATATTTGATAAGTAATTTCGAAGCGGCAGTGATGAAAAGCGGGTGACTTGCAATGCTCATGCTGACGGCAGTGGTGTCCACTGTGCGACCAGGTGACTCCATTGCCGAAAGCGCAGAATCTTACGAGCGAAAGAGAGTGCAAGTCAAGTACAAGTCGGAAAGTCCCGTGGACAACCTGGCGCAGCCAAAGCAGGGATGGCAGCATAAAGAGGGCCCGGCATCGGCCACGATTGAGTGCGCTGGGAGCCAAGTACCGCAGCAGCCCCAGGGAGAGGCTCAGAATGGAGGCTTTCGATTGGTCAGCACCACACGCCAGAAATAGCTATAAAGATGAATGCACAATACACTCATGCAAATTTCTTGCCTGCACATCCGCGTATCTGCCGTTGCCACGCAGCTTCCAAGGCTGCCCAAATATTCGTAGCCATTGTGAAAAGAGCAGTGTACAGGCAGTGGAACAGTTGGTGTACAGTGGCGTCGTTAGTGCGTTGAGAACGTGGCTTGAAACTATTAGCTAGTAGCCAGCGTCATTCCCAGCTTGTGAACCAGGGTGGTATGTGCTTGCGGCTTGATCGGGATGGGTGTGTATGGCAGGCGTCAGCGAGGGGCTCCCCAACCATTGGGGCGTATCGCAGGCAGTCCTCCAATGACTTTAGTTTCCTGGATCCTTTCGTTTTATACCTGGCGTCTGGTCTCAACGGCGACAGCGAAGGGGCTGCAGCGGCGACAGCTGATGGGTGCTGAAGGATGTCCTAAAACAATGGCATCCAATGGGTGCTGTTGTGTGGGAGGCCGGAGGTTTGTGTTTGTGGCGGCTTGGTCTGGAAGGCACTTTCCGAGTGGTGTGGACAAGCATGGACCCCCAAAGTGGGATTTGTCTGCACCCGAGTCTACGCCTGTGCGCTTATCAGGCTGTCAGCGCAGTCATAACCGGCTCTCTTCATGGGTTTCTGATTCGTGCATCAGTTTGACAACGTCAGTCGCCACGCCAAGGAAAGACGTGGGGAGTGGCCTGCATGCACGGGGCGCCATGAAGGCTGTCAACCATCGCAGGTGGCAATCAACGGAGATCGTGGTATTAGCAAGATGGGCAAGACCTGGGTGGGATGGGATAGAGAAGGCAGGTGGGAGTGGGTGGGAGGTGGGTTTGATTGTGGCTGGCGCGCAGTCGAGCGAAATATATTTATGAAGGAATGGGCCATGTATCTTCCGGATGTAAACATAATTGCTTGAACAATTGTGCCGACGTGATGCCAGTGTCAACTTGACAGGGAGCACGGGCCCGGCAGGCAGTATGGGACGTTCGTTGCCAGCGCTCGTGAGGGGTCCTGAAATGCCCCGAGCGCAATGTGCTGACCTGCTATGGAGCGTAAGCCGATGGGCTGGGAGGCCTGGGAGTGTGGCAACCGGAGCTTGTCCAATTCCGCGCAAACTGCGGAGCGTGTGTCCGCCTCATGCAACCAGCACGTCCATGTGGCTCCCGCCGCACCCAAACTCAGGGCGCTCTCGCGTCCTGTCAGTTGAGTAATGCCATCGGACAAGGACAGGATGACCTGAAACAAGGACTACAATAATCCAACGACAATCAAATGCGCTTGTCATTCGTTCCTGGGGAATCCACTCGCAAACAGCTTATCCTGCCTTGCGCGCCAATGGTGTTATTCAAATTGTACCGAACAAAAATCACCGCCGCGAGACCAAGGCCCCTCAACCCCAATCAAAACACACTCCCCAGCCGATTGAGTATCCACAAATTTATGCTCCCCTCCATCGCCTCACTCCACACTGACCCCCACGCGCGGCCGAATTATTGCTAAAGCACGCTGCCGACTGCCATGAACACAATACGGCCAAACATCTGCGAGTCAGGACCACATGCATATGGTCGTTCACACGTTCACGGCACCAAACAATAAAATGCACTATCCTGTTCCTACAGCAATCTGCAGTTCGTCGGCGCTCAAACAACTCATGGGTGAGACTCAACAGAAGGGGTCTCGTCGTGCAAGGGTATCATCGAGTTGGGAACGGGGCTGTCCTCAAGGAACAGGGTCTGAAAAAGCTCATTGCAGAATGACGGGTTGTGGCGCTGGGCGACGGAAAGGTCTGGCGAAAAATTGACGCCCACCAGCTGCGGCTGCATGCCTCCTGGGCAGGTCCTGTCTGGAACGACCACATCCACGCTGTAGACGGCACGACTCCTCGGCCACCTGCCAATCTGCTCACAGAAACAGCGGAAGAGAGTTCAGCCGGTGCGAGTGAGCATGCGAATGCAAGCGGGCACAATGACTTCCAGTTCATCTGCTAGCATCGCCACGAGCCGGTGGCGCCTGACACAGGCTCGTCAATCGCGTGCTTATGGGCGTCAGGATCTCAGGGATGTGGCTGCAGACACACACACACACACACACACACACACACACACACAAACTTACCAGGTATCCTCACCTGGCTAGGAATCGCATGTCCTTGAGACTTGACGCCTACTAAAACTGCAAGCTTGCAGGCTCAGCTACGCAATCGACTGCATTGCTTCATCAATCAAGTGACAGGTGTGCTTGAAAGGCAAAGTGGCAGAGGCATGTGCTGCCCTGCAGCTAGAGGGCAACCCCAGTGTGAATGCCATCTATGTGAATGCCATCAAACTGCATCCAGGTGCCCATACACAGAGCATGCGACATACCTGCTTTCCAGCGGTTTTAATAATCTCCTTTATAGCACTAACGATCTTATCATGAATGCTGTCCCATTGTTCTCCTGCTTGTTCCACAGCCTTGCTGACTTCCTCTTTACTGGCAGTGGCCTGTCGTCAGCATGATACCACATTCAGTACCAAAATTTTCGACCCAAGACTCCACATTAGCAGTGCACAAATGACACTGTCATATTTCTTCACTTTCTGCTGCTCTTTGCTCCATGCCATTTCTGTTGCACTCTCCTTAATGGAAGCAAGAGACATATGAGTGTTGGAGTAGGCTTCCAGGAGCAAGCACCTGAAAAGCGATATTGAGGATTATTCATGCACAGCGGTTGTTCACAACCGATTGTTTGGTCATTCCTTACCTGTTTTTTTTTTTTTTTTTTTTTTTTTTAATTTCCTGTCCTTTTTGGTTGTGTGAGGGGGGTGAGGTGGGGCTCACATGTTTCGTTTCTGTGGAAAAGCCAAACATCATCTTGACAGTCAAGCATCGATCGTAGGGCACCATTCCTCACAAGTCAGCCATTCAGGCGCTGTTGCCACCAAAGCAGTACTCTCCGAAGACACCCAATCGCCAAGTAAAACAGGGCACTGCAACCACAACCACAAGTCCACAGCAAGGGGCAGCAAGGCCCAGTCTCAGCACAACCAAAGGGAACTCTTCCAACTCACCCCCTTCCATTCTTCCACTTGCACCATGTCCGTCAGGTGCACCCCTGGGTCCGCGATGTCCTTGGGTTTCAAGTTGTACTGCTTGGAGCCGACCCTGGCGTAGAAATTTCTGTAGATATAGGCACACAGTGGTTCCATGGACTGAACTACCACCAGCACCACCAGGCTGCACTTTCGCCCAAACAGGAGAAGTGGTGGGTGGACATATTTCTGGACAATCCAGGAGCACCCGTGATCCTCCATAAGCCTCACGATGGTGCCAGCGTCACTGGTCAGGCACCAGTTAACGCCGCCAGGATCTGAGAGACAGCAGAACAGGGTGGTTAGGTGCCCTGGCTGGGACAACACCTCACAAAACACACTGAAGCATTGGCATTGAGCGAAAATACTTCCTTTGCTGCCAACTTCCTGGCCATCCCAATGGGTGGTCCACCTTGATGATTACTGCTTTGCCACATACTTTTGCTGTCATAGGCTGCAGGCATAATTCGACTCGCTGAAACTTGAGATCGACTGCCGTGCCTGGTTGCCTTGTTCAGGAGCATGGTTCGAAACTCTGTAGGTTGCAGACCATTTGGCACCTACTAAAATGGCAGCTGGCTGTTCATAATATTGTTAAGCGTGTATGCACATCGCAAAGGTCGATTGTGCGCCCAAAATCTGTCTGGTGCGATGTCCGAAAACTGCTTCACGTCTTGTCCCATCCATGCTTGTTCATCATGAAGTACAAAATGGGTGCCAATGGGTCATGCACGATGGACATGGCAGCCACTCCTTTGAAACAAGGATCGTACAGCAGCAGGCGGTTGCGCTGTTGCTTTGCAATGCAATCACAGTGCACAGCACACCTGCAGGTTTTACCAGCCAGTGGCTGTCTTCGTTCGTCTCCTGTTGCTTTTTGTGTGCCACCAAAAACTGATTCACCTCTGTGTTGAGGATGAATGTTGGGGGGTACCACCAAGGCTGCCTGCTGCTTGCCTCGCCTGCCGGGTTTGGCCCATCCCCATTACGGGCAACCGACATCGAGCGGATCATTTGCAAAGCAAGGCGCCTGGACACCAGGGAGCCCTCATGTGGAAATTGGTTGATCATCCGAAGCCCCAGGTCATAGAAACTGGTGACAGGGTGGCGCACAAACAGGATGTTCGAGTCCACAAACTTGTCAACCAGTTCAAAGGCCTGGTGCTCCAGGCCGTCCTCAATGACCGGATGATCTGTGAACACCTGAAGTTCAGATCAGTAGAATGAGGTGCTGCACTGATTTGTTGCTGTCCATCTCATGTAAACATGGTAACTGGGATGCATGCAATGTCATTCAAGTGTGGCACAGGTAATTTCCAAAGGAAGGGGCTCAAGGCGGTTGTGTGTCATCATGGGATATCCAGTTTGACAGGACATAGCACCCCAAAGTGCTTTACAGTCACAAGCAGGCGCAGAACCTAAAAACCAAAATCATTGCTGAATGCCTAACAGTTGAAGGATCGCTGGAGTTCGGGACTCCAAACCTGTGCGTTCAGGGCATGGAATCCTTCCTTGCATGGCCTAGCGCATGAAAATTGGACAGGGGCACAGGGAAGGGTTTACACCCATATGGATGGGAGAGGTGTGCTGCATACAAAAATATGGATATTTTGCAGAATCTTTGCTTCTGCTATAAGTGTGATCAAAACAACAGCAGCAATTGTATAAAAGATTGGAATGCAATGCAGGCAGCTCAAGTCTTTGGCAAGAAGGGATGAAATTTGAAGGAGGAAACAGGGCATGGAGGTGGCACAGTGCTATGCGGCCACACTAACCTTTTTGATTTCAGGGGCAAATTCTGTCATCGCCAAACGAGGCCTTGCATCGTTGTGATCAACTTGTTCCTGCCGACATTCCAACAAGGGAATGCTTGGTGGAGAGGAGCATCGAAACACTTGGACAAGGCCATCGTGTTCGCTTGGATGTGCCCACCTGTTCAAGGAGAAGAAAGCATGGGTGCACCAACATGGGAATACTGACCAGAGCCTGGCAGTGTAAGTTGCTACGTTACTGTCCAAACTGGATGAACCGCTTAAACAACAGACAATGCGATACACATCTGAACCCAGAGGGACAGCCAACAGAGAAGTGACCATGATATTTTTGCAAATATCACTGTCGCAGTATACAGCCACCTTGTATGTCCAGTGTGTTCTATATTGCATAGCTCGATCGAAGAGTTGCTGGGTTTGCAATTTTAGGCTCTTAAGTTCAGTCGATTCCATAATCTTGAGAAAGAAATACAGGTGCTGGGAAAAACAGCGATGGAAGGCATGTAACTGTTCCTAAAAGACTATTTGCCAATGCCGAAACCTGGCACCAGCTACTCAGAGAATCTGCTCTTGGCAGCATGCAAGTTCGCACATCCCTGCCAGCCCCTCTGCAAGTCATGCACGTCTCATCCCTCTCTGGTTATGCAAAGCCACCACTCTCGACTGCACACCTCTTTGCGTCTTCCCCAATCAGAGTCACCAAGCGAGCAACCCGCTGCAGTGACCTCTTGCCAGGGAGGTAATCGCGTTTAAGTTTCTGTCCGCTCTTCAAAGGGTAGATGGCACACAACATGGACACTGTGTGGGGTCCTCCAGGCTTGTTGCCAGCGACAAGTGACACCAAGTCTTGTGACAGAGTCCACACTACACAAGCAGACAGGCGATGTTTGGAAACCATGGACAACAAGTGGAGAAGAGTATCATACAGATACCTGCACTGACAATGTTTGTCACAATACAACCAAACACTGTCCTGGGACCAAGTTGGCGATGGCAGGCGCTGCTCACATCCAAAGTGTCTGTCCCAGAGTGTGTTGCCAATCTAAACACCAAAGAATACGGAAATTGTATCCCCAAAGAGTCCCAAAATGTCTTAACTACCAAAAAGTCAGGAGTGCCAGTGTGCAGCATGTACTAAAACTGGTGACTTTTCAATGTTCAGATAGAAAGACAGCAGAGTCAATGAAAAACACAGTGCCTGGGCCATCAACATAGCCCAGCAGGAAAGTGCAGAAAGGTGCTGTCACCACCCTACTAGAGCCCAAGTGACCTGATAGAACACATGAAAAAGTGCCAGCGACAAAATCATTACTGTCTGCACACAGCGAAACTGAGGTTTCTATACACCTTGCAACATCCACGGGGATCTGAGTTTCAGCAGCACTCCCATGGCACTGCTGGATCCAGGATAATGCTGACAATAAGGAACAGAGTCGGGCTCACACCTGCCACATTGCCATCGTCAGCATGTGGAATCCACAGCGTTTCTGGGGATTCCAACACCCAGTGCATTTCTCTTATTCTCGATTCCTCAGGATCAACAAGGCCAAGAGGTCCTGGACTAGCCCACCGCCAAAATTCGTTGAAAATTCTGTCTGTGCTCACTGGGCCTGAGGTCACATACACATGGCACACTTGTCACTTCCATTCCCAACCACACAAGCCCAGCAATGCATGACTTGACCTTTACAAAGGAGACTCGGTGCCATCGCATGAAATGGCAGCAATGGGTATGCATATCAGAGTACTGCTGCACAAAGCTTTGGAAACAACTTGCAAGTTATGTTGATACCACTCTCTGTTCTGGCTACAGCTCACTGTGCACCAGAGCATGACACACAAAAGCACCATGCAAAGCACTCTGACAATTCGTACCTGCTTCCTCGTCCAGCCTCATGCACTTTGCACACTGTTCGCGGAAAACAGTGTCTTCCTCAAGCTTCATGTACAGGGCACTTCGTGTGATGTTGGCAGCATGGGGCAGGAGCCACACATCTTCGAATGGTGTCACCTCCTTGCTGCAGATTATTGCAGGTGGTTGATTTTCCTCTCGTTTGATCTAGCAACACAGCAGCCTCACTTGGTGAGAAATGCAAGGTGCCAATGTCACCTGGCTGCAATGTTCCACAGATGCACAAAACTAGAATCTCGCCATCGCCCCATAACCACTCAAGCACAGCAGGACGGCCATGGGAAATGTTGTGCAAAACAGGGGCTACTGCAGATACCTGTCAAATTGAGGAGTTGCTGTCCATGCGATAGTTCAAATGCAAGGCTCAGCTGTGCCCAGTTCGTGAGAGAATTTGCATTCAGATACGGGCTCCTTTGTGGCGTTGTACAACCATCGTTCCAGGGCAGGAGTGACTTGTGGTGCCCCATGATTGGCAGTCTTCCTCAGAGTCAACTTGGTATGAGCTTTGGCTCCAGTTACAAACTAGGCTAATTACTATTCACAACACAGTTCTGGATGCAAATCAACAACCCAGCGTCTACAGCTACGCTCGCCTCAGTTGGGCTGTGTTGATGCGCAGTGTCCATAATATGCATTTCGTGACTGTCAACTGTCCGGCCTCCATAATGAAGACAGGATTTTGTCGCACAAGCAAAATCAGCTAGCGGAGGTTTCAGGCCTCCATACAATCCACCAATGGGTGCATCCCCTTTGGAACAACAGCGTTGCGCGACTGCTTGCAAAACAGCGGCTGGTGAGTTCATGGGCCACTGACCCACAGCCCCAGCCATTATTCACCTGGCAGTGGCATCCCTGGCACACCCAGTTGCACCCTGATCTCTTTGACAGGCGACACCCCCCACCCCCCACCCCTCTGGAATGTATTCCTGATTTAGGATGGTTTGCTGCCCGTTTCAGGGTAAGGCCATTCCTGGCAAGTGCGCTGCAACCATGTGGCTGGTTACCACAGACACATGGGACACGTCACCCCGAATCTCAAGTAAGGAAATGCCAAACCCTTCAGCTGCAAGAGCGCAGGCCGGAATCTGGTTCAGCCATCGCGCGGACAGCACAGGGGGCCAGCATCAGCGCTCGTCCGCCCCCCCCCCCCCCCTTCGGCGCCTGCAGAGGATGGCATGCCCATCCCGACCATTTGACCGCGCAGCGCACGAAAATGCCAGAGGCGCAGAATTTAGCGCTCCTCTCCCTCCACCGCGCCCGCGCACCGTCCCCAGCGAGCGCCGATCCCCACAAACATGCGCGAGTCAGCATGCCATAAAACCCCAAGGGGGGCGCAAGTCGCGGACCGCATCGATGGCCTTGGACGCAAGGACACACGGACGCGCCACGCCGCGGCCCCCGTCGCCCCAAATCCCCACGCGGCCCTTCATCGATTCCTACGCCGCGCCCCGCTCCCCAGGTTCCAACTCCCCCCACCTCGAAATCGTCGCCGTAGCCGAAGTCCGACGAGCGCAGCTTGCGCAGCAGCGCGAGGCTCAGCCGATCAGGCAGCTCCAGCTGGTCCACGAACTCCCGCACGGCCGCCTCCGCGCGGTCGGCCCTCAGCGGCCGCAGGCCCTCCGGGCGCGGCCCTTCCATAAACTCCTACTATGCCGACAACTCGCGGCGGTGACTCCTCAGGGGATGTCGAAATGCGCAGCCGCAGGGCGATGTTGGGATCGCCGCCGGGCGGTGGTGGCGCGCCGCAGGGCTGCTGGCCCCGGTGTTGGCCCCCGCGAGGCGGCGAGGGGGGCAAGCGGGCCGCGAAGGTAGCTGGGGTCGACTTCCGCTAACCCGCACATGACCCAACCACGGAAAATGGGCGCAGGGGCAGCGCGCCGTTGGCCTCCCCACGTTCGGGCGTCCTCGTTGGGCCCCGGACTGAGTCAGCGCGGTGGTTAGTCACGTCGCGGGAACGACCCCGCAGTTGGGAGGCGCACGGCGCAGGGGAGGCGTCACTGGCGCCTCGGAGCGGGGTTCCCCGGGCGGTACCGGCAGTACCGGGCGGGGGGTGGGGCACACAGCTGGGTTTTTGCGCCCTGCAGGATTGATTGTATGACTGGATTGTGGAAACCGCGCGGAGCGCCCCGGCTGTTGGGTGCCTCGTTGCGTTTTGTGAGCAGGAGGAGCAAAGCTCCGTCCGGCGGCGCTCTTGCGTCAGGATGGGTGGTTGTGATTGGGGTAGAGGCGCAACGTCCTGCCGGTACTGCCCTCCACCCTGGTGTCCATCGACGCGACCCGCCATGCGCACGTGCACGCGCCCGTGTACGCTCGCGGCTTAAGGGGGGATGTTGTGGTTGGACACGTGGCTGCCAATGTTTGAGGGGGCAACGGCACCAATGGACGGATTGGGGTTCTCCAGTGGTGCCGTCGCGCAGCAAGCTTTTGGGACGTATGTCTGGCCCTGATGGCGTGGACACCAATGCCATCGGACACTGGGCATGACGGCAGTGCTCCCCCTTGCCTCGGCTGCGCCCCCCACTGCCAATACTGGCCCGTAGTTGTACCATCACCGCGCGAGTTCAGAAAACAGGCTTGCGGATTAATCCGCAAACGAATATTCGTGGCTGACCCACGTGACGTCAGTGGCACGTGGGGGTACGCAATGCTTAAGAAAATACACCTGGCACTCCTGAATCCTAGTGGAGGCTGATCAGTGCCACAGTTCACAAATTTTCTGATGTGTGGAGTTGGGGTCGTCGCCTGTTTTGCGGTCAGCCTGCCACAACGCTGAACTCCTCATTGTATGGTCCATTCAATTTTGCAAAATGCGAGTTTGATAATAGGTTTTTAATATTCTTCTTTCGAGGATGTGCTCTCCACTTGCGGTGGTCTGGCAAGTGTTCGAGTGCCATGATGTTACAAACAGCTGACAAGCACCGCCAGGAGGGTGTCTACACTTAGGAACAGCAATATGACTCAACGATCAGCCATATGCGCTCAATGATAGTCACTAAGGACACAGCCACTATCACAGCCTTGTCAATCGCCCAAGAGTTTTGAGCGTTCCGCTCTTGCACCTTCAACCACTCAGCTCCTAGGAGCTTACAGGACGATGGAAGTTACCACAATACGCAAATTCAAACCCAACAGGACTCCAGGGGTATTGCCGAGCGCTACCGAAGCGAGGCGCAACCCCAGCACTGAATTTCTCTCAGCTGCTTAATGCTCTGCCTAGCAGCGGTAATTCATCACCGGTCAACGAGGCGACTCCCTTCGCCGCCTTTCACAGCTCCTGAAACTTCGTTCAGTAAGCCGCCAGCACTTCAAAAGACTCCACGCAGCTTTGCCATCGTCGCGCACTGGTCGTTCACCAGAAACTTCCTTCCAATCCACTTGATAGTCAAATCGCAGGCGGCAAAGACGCCACTGGACAGCTGCCAGCACTCCGCCTCGTTTCCGTCCCCACAGCGTAGAGTGAACGCGAACGTTCCCTCCCCCTCGTCCGCCGCTCGCCAAGCCGCGGTCGAGTCCACGGCCCCGAAGATCCATCGGTTGGGGAGGCCTGAGCCGCGGATGGCGCCCCATGCCAAAGCGCCACCGGCCCTCGCCTCGCAGCCCTGCTTGACGAGAAAGGCTGCCTCACTCATGACGAGGGGCGCGCCCAGCTCGCGCATTCCTCGGGCGGCCAGGTCTGGATGCACCTCGCCTTGTCGCGGGATGGGCGCCATCCATCGAGTGGGGATGTGGCTGGGCCCTGCCATCGCCCCCTCGCCAAACTCCCCGTCCGTGTCGCGACGCGCCGGGACCCAATCCGGCAGCCTGCTCCTCTTGACCCGCGCCATCAGCCCATCTTTCAGTGCTTTCCATGGTGAAACGGCAGCGTCGCTCCGTTCGGACCAGTCGCAGGTCGCGGGGCGCGGAGGCCTTGTGGGCGCAGGATGCGGGGATGTGACGAACATGTACGACACAATATAATACAAAAATTACCAAAGGGCAGTTTCCCATACAGTTGGTAAGCAACAAAGTATTGTCAGCAGCCGCACACCATGTCCCATCACGACTCCATTGGACCCTAACACCCTTCCAGTACTTGTCCTGTCAAAGTCCTAGGACTTTTTGAAAAGTTCAGGTCCATTGAAGGACAACCCCTACGGTCCATGGCCTTCTCAAAACGGGTCAGAAATTGGCCGTTTTTCCTTCCGAAAGTCACTCAAGAGGTTCTTACAAAACGACCAGCCTCTCATTCAGGGTCCCTCACCATACGCCCTGCACACACCGTGCCTCTTTGTCCCCGGCTAATAGTACTGGAAAATCTACCATAATCGCATACTAAACCCAATTCTGTACATCCCAAATCCATCACTGAAAATTGTATTGTATCCCGTCAGCCAGTGGGCCCATCCAGCTCGTTTTGGCCCCTTTCTTTGGCCAGTTCACAGCCCAGTCACAGCCGTCCATGCTGTCTGTACAGTGCCCTTAAATTGACTTCATTGGTGATCATTCTGGACGGTTCTGCTGAGTGACAATGCAAAACAGCGAGATGGAGGATGTGTCAACTGTAAATGCATCGATTCATGTGCACTGGAGAGAAGCTGAGCGCGTACACGTTTGCCTTGAGCGTTCAGCAGCTGCAGGACTGCCAAATGTAACCGTATGTTATGCAGTTCAAAGTAACTTCTGCGGAGCACATTGGCCTTTCCTTTCTCTACGGTTTTCTCTCAATTACAGTGATGGCCATTTACTTGAGCAGATTGGACTGTAATCGAACACAAGTAATTTTCCGGCTGGAGATGACCACTGCTACGGAGC